CTGTCCTTCAGGGGACTCCAGGCCCTCTACCCAAAACTTCACTGGATTCTGGCAGGGGAGGGGAGAGAGAGAAAGAAATAGAGGGATGGCCGGGCACGGTGGCTCACGCCTGTAATCCCAGCACTTAGGGAGGCCGAGGCAGGCAGATCACGAGGTCAGGAGATCAAGACCATCCTGACCAACATGGTGAAACCCCGTCTCTACTAAAAATACAAAAATTAGCTGGGCGTGGTGGTGTGTGCCTGTAATCCCAGCTACTTGCGAAGCTGAGGCAGAAGAATCGTTTGAACCAGGGAATTGGAGATTGCAGTGAGCCAAGATCGTGCCACTGCACTCCAGCCCGGCCACAGAGCAAGACTCCGTCTAAAAAAAAGAGAGAGAGAGAGAGAGAGAGAGATTAAGAGACACAAGAGATCATAGGTGAGATTTTTAGGCCTAGAAGTAGAACAAATCACTTCCTCCCACATCCCATTGGCCAGACTTGGTCCCGAAGCCCCAGCTCACTGCAAGGGAGGCTGGGAAGCAGAGCCTAGCTGAGCCGGGAGGAGGGTGCATGCCATGGCCTGGAGACACATTGCACCAGGTTTCTTTCCTACGTGCTCCCACAGGCCATGGGGTGTTACGTAGAGGATGTGAAGGAGGATCGTTCTCTGCATAGCACACTCCCCGCCTCTCCATCTGAGGTGTTCTGGGCTAGGACCCTTGACAAAAGAACGAACCCGCTCCATCCCCTGTCGCTGGGGGTGGAAGACTCTGTATGTGGGGGTTGCACCCTCCCCCATTCTGCTCCCCACTTCCTTGGCTGCTGCACATCCCAGGGGCACGAGGGTGGACAGTGGCCTGCCTCCCTTCCCTGGCCCTAACCCGCTGGCCTGGGCTACCCACCTCAGGCTTCCTGTGTCTGACCTGGCCTTTGGGGCATCTGGGGTGCTCAGTAAATGTTTGTTGAATAAATAAAAGAAGGAAAGCAGGGTGAGGAGGAAGAAGAGTCTCGGGCAGTACGTGCCAGGTAGACTGATGCTGTCTCACGGATGAAACAGCTATACACAGCTGTTCCTTACAAGCTGGGTCTGTGACTTCTGGTTTTGGCTGGGGATGCGTTTCTTTTTTCTTTATATGTGTGTGCTTTTAAAGTTTTAACTGAATTCATTATTTGGGGGCAGGAAATATGTTCATGCCATATAAAAGGGTCTATAGAGAAAAGCATCCTTCCTAATCGTTCCTCACCTGGCTCTTCTCCCCGAGAAAACCAGCGTTCCTAATTTCTTGCAAAGCTTCCGGGAATATTTGAGGCTTAAATGTTGGCTGTTATTCTCTTAGTTGTGGCTGTGTGTTTAGTATCCTCTCCTGCCGCCAGACAGCCTTACTCTAGGGGAGAGGGAAGGGCAGTGTGGAAGGAACTGGCCTTTACAGCAAGCCTGCGGTGCATGGTCACATTAAGTGCTTTTTATACACCTTCTTGTCCAATTCACCCCTTCATCTGATAGGTGTGCATACTGAAGCACACGGAGGCCTAGGTCACAGCCTCAATCTCCAGTCCTGCCCCTCTTGGGCAGCACTGCTCCACGCTTCTTTTCCAGTGCCGGGCTTTGCACATGGGAGTTGGGCCTGATTCTCTTTTTGGAGTCTTGAATTCCACTGTCTCACATTTGCAGAGCTGCCCTCCCTGCTCTTCTCTCTCTCCTTTCAGAAGAGGTGGCAGGCTGGGTGCAATGGCTCACGCCTGTAATCCCAGCACTTTCGGAGGCTGAGGTGGGTGGATCACCTGAGGTCAGGAGTTCGAGACCAGCCTGGCCAACATGGGGAAACCCCATCTCTACTGAAAATACAAAAATTAGCTGGGCGTAGTAGCACGTGCCTATAATCCTGGCTACTCAGGAGGCCGAGGCTGGAGAATCGCTTGAACTTTGTGGGCAGAGGTTGCGGTGAGCCGAGATTGTGCCACTGCACTCCAGCCTGGGTGACAGAGCTAGACTCTGTCTCAAAACAAAAACAAAAACAAAAACAAAAAACAAAAAAAAAGAGGCCGCAGCCTGCAATAAAACCCCTCTGAAGCAAGGAATCAGGAAAGGGAAGAAGCAGAGCTGCTGCTTCTGGGCTCTGAGGATGGAACTTCACAGGGTCTATGGGGCTGTGATGCAGCACGTAAGGATGTGCAGTTTTCTAAAGACCAGTTCATAAGTTTTCATCATTAAAAAAACAAGAGCCCTGAGCTGAGCTCCCACACCACCCTTCTCCCCTGCCAAGAAAGGGGGTAAAAGGTTAGGAACCATGACTTGAGAGGAAGAGGAAGGTTCTAGAATGTTCAATAAGTGGCTGTCAAATTGTTCACAAAGACCTGATAGTCATCTCTGGGAAGTGCTAGCTAGAGCAAACAGACAAGAGAAAGAAGTAAAGGGCATCCAGATTGGAAAGGAAGAAGTCAAATTATCCTTGTTTGTAGACAATATGATCTTATATATCAAAAAGCCTACAAACTCCACCGCAAAACTACGAGAACTGATAAACAAATTCAATTAAGTTGCAGAATACAAAATCAACATACAAAAATTAGCAGTATTTCTGTGTACCAACAGCAAACAATCTGAAAAAGAAATCAAGAAAATAACTCCATTAGGAATAGCTACAAATAAAATAAAATACCTAGGAATAAACATAACCAAATAAGTGAAAGATCTCTATAATGAAAACTATAAAACGTTTGGTGCGAGAAACTGAAGAGGACACAAAAAATAAAAAGATATTCCATGTTTAAGGATTGGAAGAATCAATATTGTTAAAATGTCCTCACCACCCAAAGAAATATACAGATTCAATGTAATCCCTATCAAAATACTAATGACATTCTTCACAGAAATAGAAAAAATAATCGTCAAATTTATATGGAACCACAAAAGATGCAGAGTAGCCAAAGCTATCCTAAGTAAAAAGAACGAAGCTGGACAAATCACATTATCTGACTTCAAATTATACCGCAGAGTTACAGTAACTAAAACAACATGGCACTAGCATAAAAACAGACACATTGACCAATGAACCATTGGTCAGAATAGGGAACCCAGAAAAAATCCACACACCCACAGTGAACTCATTTGCAACAAAGGTGCCAAAAACATACCTGTGGGGAAAGGACAGTCTTCTCAATAAATGGTGCTGGGAAAACTGGATATCTCTCTTCATATACAAAAATCAAAACCAAATAGATTAAAGACTTAAATCTGAGACCTCAAACTATGAAACTACTAAAAAGAAACATTGGGGAAACTCTTTAGGACATGGGACTAGGCAAAGATTTCTTGAGCAAAGATTTCTTGGGCAAAGATTTCTTGGGCAAAGATTTCTTGGGCAAAGATTTCTTTCCACAAGCACAGGTAACCAAAGCAAAAATGACAGATGAGATCACATCAAGTTAAAAGGCCTCTGCACAGCAAAGGATACAATTAGCGAAGTGAAGAGACAATCCACAGAACTGGAGAAAACATTTGCAAACTAACTATCTGACAAGGGATTAATAACCAGAATAGATAAGGAGCTCAAACATCTTTACAAAAAAAAAAAATATAGCAATTCCATTAAAAATTGGGCAAATGATCTGAATAGATAGTTCTCAAAAGGAAACATATGAATGGCAACCAGGTCTATGAAAAGGTATTCAACATCATTGATCATCAGAGAAATGCACATCGAAATTACAATGAGATATTATCTCACCTCAGTTAAAATGACTTTTATCCAAAAGGTAGGCAATAATGAATGCTGATGAGGATGGGGAGAAAAGGGGACCCTCGTACACTGTTGGTGGGAATGTAAGTCAATACAACCACTATAAAGAACAGTTTGAAGATTCCTCAAAACACAAAAACAGAGCTACCATATAATCCAGCGATCCGACTGCTGAGTATATACCCAGAAAAAAGGAAATCAATATATGGAAGAGATATCTGCATTCCCACATTTATTGCAGCACTGTTCACAATACCCAGGATTTGGATGCAACCTAAGTGCCCATCAATAGATGAATGAATAAAGAAAATGTGGTACGTATACATAATGGAGTACTATTCAGCCATAAAAAAGAATGAGATCCTGTCTTTGCAACAACATGTTTGAAACTGGGGGTCATTATATTAAGTGAAACAGGCCAGGCACAGAAAGACAAAGTTCACATGTTCTCACTTATTTGTGGGAGCTAAAAATTAAAACAATTGAATTCATGGAAATGGGAAGGGCAGTGATGGAGATGGGAAGGGCAGTGGGGGTTGGGGGGGTGGGGACGGTTGTTGGATACAAAAACATAATTAGATAGAATGAATAAGATCTAGTATTGGATAGCATAACAGGGTGACTTTTGTCAACAATAATTTATTGTACCTTTAAAAATAACTAAAAGAGTATATTTGGATTATAACACAAACAAAGGATAAATACTTGAGGTGATGGATACCCCCATTTACCCTGATGTGATTATCACACATTGTATGCCTGTATCAAAATAGCTCATGTGCCTCATGAATATAGACACCTACCACATGCCCACAAAATTAAAAATTAAAAAAAACCAGTTGTGTCTGAATGCTAAATGGAGTAAGGGGCTTTCTGGAAGGCGAGGTGAAAAGGGAGTCTCTGAAAGATGGTGCATTGCAGGCTGGTGAGACTCTGGGGTCACCTAGAGGGACCTGCTTGTGTGAAGCCTATGTGTTAGTGGGTATGTGTGTGACCGGATGGAGGCATCAGAGGTGTTGGGTAGCCCGTGTGAGTGGGCATGCGGGTGATGTAGGAGGGGAGAGAGGGAGGGTCTGCGTTCCCTTAGCTCCTATGTGCAGCTAGGCCCCTATTTGACAGTGAGTGTGTGTGTGTGTGTGTGTGTGAGTGTGTGTGTGTGTGTGTGTGTGTGTGCCGCCCCCAGCGTAGGAGGCAGATCTTTATCTGGCCCTGGGTGCTTGAGGAGTTTCAGGCTTTCTCATAAGCCTCGTCTCCCCGCCTCTCCACCCCAGGCCTTGCCCCTCTATCCTCTGCACAGGAAGTGGGCTGGCTCTGGGCTTTTAGTTTTTGTGGCCCCAGCAGCCGCAGCCGTCTCCTGGGCCAGAGCTGAGCAGGGCCCTGGAGAGATGGCCACGGTCCCAGCAGCGGGGAGGACTAGAGAGCGCGCGCTGCCACCGCCCCATGCCTCAGCCAGGTGATGCTCCCCTGCCTCCCTCCCGGCCCCTGTGGGACCAGCCAGGGGGCTGGCAGTGAAAGTCACAGAGAAGACTTTCAGCTCTGACTCAGTTCCCCCAGCAGTTTCTGCCGGTCCTCCCATCCCCCCAACTTTATCTTAGAATTCCCCTGGGGAGGGCGTAGGCCCAGCTCTCAGGGCTCCGGGCTGGAGGAAAAAGCGTTCCCCAGTCCCAGGTCACCCCTCCTTCCCAACCCGTTCAGGGGAGGCTAGGGGCTGCTATGGGATGGGGGGCTTCCCTGGGCCCTGTGTGCCGGGCCCCCAACCCGGAGAGGTGGAGAAGGGGTGGGTGGATAGCCTGGGTGCCCAGAGAGGGTACGGGATATGGGGTGGGACAGGCAGGAGCCCCCTCCTGACCTCTGTGGAGTGGGGCCCATATACTGGGGGAGGTATCTCTGTGTCGAGTGCTCATCAGGAGGCGTGTGGAGTAAGTGGGGAGAGAAGGGTCCCCTTGGAGAGCCATCTGTGAAGTGAAGTGTGCTGCGAGGCCTCTAGGAGCCCCAGGCTGGAGGCAGAGCCCTGGGTTTGAGTCTGGATTTGTCTCTCCCTTGGCTGCATGACTGGCTAGGTCAGTAGCATCTCCAGGCATTGGGGATGGGACCCTATCTTTGGGGCTGCCTGGAGCTCAAGCTGTCTCCTCTCCTGGGGGCCGAAGCCTCCCACCCTTAACTGTGTTTGTAGCACCTCGGGGGAGGGAGGTGGAGTGAGGGGCTGAGCTATCCCCAAGGGTTCCCTTCCTTCCCCCATAGCCAGGGTCCCGCACCCGGCTGGGGAAGCCCCTGAAGTTAAATAGCAAGAGACAAGCACTGTGTGTGGGAGCACGGGGGTGGCAGGTGGAGATGGCCAGAGAGGACGAGGGGACATAGGCCCCATCGAGTTCGGAGGTCAGGTGGCATGCACCATGGGCTCCCGAACTCCTGCTTTATCGCCCTGCCCCAGCCACCACGTACCCCTGATGGCAGCAGGGGCCCCAAACTGCACCTCACCAGGTTCAAATCCTAGCTCTACGCCCTTCTTGCCTGGGCGAGAGGCTGACCTGTGTTTCAGTCTCCTCATCTGGCAAAAAGGAAGCATACTAGAGCCTCCTCGTGCGGCTGTAGCGGGGGCTAAACACCAAACTACCCCCGAGTGCTCAGGACCGTGCAGGCAGAGAGAGAGCAGGCGCCAGTCCCTGTCCCCAGCACCATCTTTCTGGAAATCAGATGGCTGGGGTCAGCCGCTCCGAGCTTCAGTTCTGGCATGGATCAAATGGGGCAGCGAGACCCACCTTGCAGGGTTGTGGTGGGGACGTAGGCATCTGTGGGTGTGACCGGTTTCAGAGTCATGAACGACAGGGCACGTATGGGTGTGCCTGAGGACCCAGGAGGGGGTGCTCAAACTCGAGGTCCCGGGCTCCACTTGCTGTCACCCGAGGCTGGGCTTCTCCTCGCTGTGCGACCTTGAGTGGGTTCCTTGGCCTCCCTGAGACTCAGCTTCCCCCTTGCAGAATGAGGGTGCAGCCTCAGTGACTGTCAGGCACTCCCTCAGCTCTGCGCCCCTCTGGCACTCCCACACCGTCCTCCCCGGACTCTGCCCTCTCCAAGCATCGCAGCACCCGGTGCCCAGACGGCAGGAAGCAGACTCCAGATGGCGCTTTCTCCTCCTGCTCGGCTGCCTCTAGGCTGGGCCTGTGGTTTGCACCTAACCTTCCTCTGACCTGGTACCCCTTTGTCCCCCAGTACCTTCCTCCCACACTGGAGCTCTCTGCAGGTCTTGTGCTGGGCATGGGGTCATCCTGAGGCTGGGCCCGACCTGGGGTGACACCCACACAAAACATTGATGGTCCCCTTGCCCCAGGGCCAGGCTGACATGATTGAGCGTGAAGGGGCACAGAGGCTGTGGGAGTCCCTGGTTGGGCTATGCACTCTTTGGAGTCCCAACCCTGTGCCCTCTGCTATTGAGGATCCCAAGAAAGAGGTAAGCAGCCCCCACCCTGGGGAGCTCGCCCTCCTATGGAGACAGTGGGCCAGGCAAAGGTGAACCCATGGTGCCCAGGAGAAGCACCTGCCGGTCTGTCTGTGAGCTGCTGGGTCCTGACTCCCAGGGCAGGGAGGGTGGCAGCCTGACCTCTGGGACCAGTGTTACCTCTGGGACCAGTGTCACCTCTGGGACCAGTGTCTGGCAGGGTGGGACAGCTTGAGAGAGTGAGCCTGGAGGCCTAGCTCCGCCTCTTGCTGTGTATATGACCCTGGGCAAGTTAGGGACTTGGAGCCTTAGCTTCCTCATCTGTGTAATGGGATAATAAAGCCATTGGGCAGCTTAGATATGCTGGCATATGTGAGGCCCTTGGCCCCAGGCCTGGCGTAGAGTATGTGCTCAGTACACGTCATGAGTATTATTAGGTCACCAGTGCATATTTACCGTCGTGTGAGCTGTCGTGGTGGGAAGACGCGTCTGGGGAGTTCCGGGAGGGGAGGATCCCTGCCTGGGCACTGGGCGGTCTGCCCTGATTCAGATTCCAGTTAGGCAACGCACTTCACCTCTGTGTGCCTCCTGTTTCCTCATTGGAAAATGGGGATGATGAGAGTATCCCTGCCAGAGGCCCTTATTGCTGCGTTTAAAGAGTTTCAAATGGAGCCTGGGTTACAGCAACCCGTCGGCCAATGGTTTTGGTGTGGTTAAAGGGGGTGGCAGAGCAGTGTGGAGGGGGGTTCTGATCCCAGCTCTGTGCTGGGCTCCTGATGTGACCTTCTGCAAGGCTTTCCCACCTCTGGACCTCAATGTCCTCAAACGTAGAATAAGGGACTGGGCTTGCTCAGAGAACCTTTGCAGCTCTGACAATGTGCGGGCCTCTGATTCTCCCTCCTGTGACATCTGCCTTAGGAGATGGAACCCATGGCTCTCGGGACCAGGGCGCGGGTCCCTGTTCCATGCTGGCTCCGATGTAAGCCATGAGACAATCCAGGGCCACCCAAAGAGCTCTGCTTTTCTTTGCAGTACTGAGGCCTCTGACTATACTCATTCATTTCACTACATTTATTGAGCACCGACTGTGTGCTCGGCCCTGTGCTCAACAGTCCCTGGAGCAAGTATACTGGTGGGCCAGCCCCTGGCCAATGCTGGCCCTGCTGCTGCCAGCCTAGAGGGAGGAGCAAGGCACTGAGAAGTGGAAGCCCTCGCCCTCCATCACGGAAATCAGGGAGGACTTCATGGAAAAAGGCATGAGGGCCCGTTTGAAAGGGGCTTGAAGGATGGCAGGATCTGTAGGGGACCCAGGGAAAGGATAGACTTGGGAAGAACCTTTGGAGGGTGAGTGTCGGTTTCCTGGCCGCCTGGAGCCACCGGCTTGTGCAGGCAGGTAGGTGCGGCGTGTATGTGCTTTGGCCTGGGTACATGCACCTGCTGCTGTGAGGGCAGTCTGGAAGGGTTGACTGCCCTCATCCCGGTCCCAGAAAGCCCTGAAAGTGGGAATTTAGGCTTTGGTTGCAACAGGGCCACTGCAGGTTCCTGGGCAGGGAGGTGGGTGGTTGGAGGGGGGCTTCAGGGAAGGCAGGTGAGAGCCTACAGATGGGATCGTGCTGTGGTCTGGGCTAGAATGGCACGAGGCTGGCCCAGTGAGGGCAGGGAAGAGACAACAAGTAGTCATTGGACTGTCCTGCTGTCTATGGAGTGTCCTGGCTGGCTAGGTATGGGGGCAAAGGTCCCCTGGAACAGGAAGGGTACAATTGTCCCGGAACTGAAAGTCAGATAGGAGAAGAGCCAGGGATGAGCTGGGTTTTTGCTGGGTCCAGGAGCACCCGCTGTGAGGGGGTCCTGCAGACCATTGGGAGGGACGTGGAGGCTTGGGGCTGAGCTGGAGAAAGACCCTTGGAAGCTGAGGGTTAGAGCCAGTGAGAGACTCAGAGAGAGAAGGGAAGGGGAATGAGAGCTCGAGTTCGGAGCTGCTGGAGAAGGGAGAACAGAGGGGAAAAACGCCCAATGCCCAGGGGCCTTGGCAGCTCTCAGAATGGAAGAGCAGGAGGGAGGGAAGGACTCTCCACCTCCTCTGCATGTCTCGACTCACCTGCTCCTGTCCGCTCTGCTCCTGCCCCTCTGCTTCTGCCCCTCTGACTGAGGCCACCCTCACCTTTCCCTGGAAAGCTCCCTCCTCATCTCCCGGCCTCCCCGCTTCGCCTGCTCCAAACACCTCTCCTGGAAGCAGTCCCCTTATCTTCCCGAAGCGACCATGTGCTCACTTCCTCATTCCCCTCCGCACACCCAGCCCCTGCAGAGGGTAGGGGCAGCTACATTTCTTTCCCGTTTCCACTGCGACAGTCGTGGTCTTGCCTCACCTGTGTGCTGAACGGGAGCTTCCATGGTCAGCTAGAGGTTCCCTGAGAAGCAAGGCTTTGTCTCAAAAACAAAAACAAACAAACAAACAAAAAGCACCGGCCAGCGGCCAGCGGCCAGTGCATAATAGGCACTCCGGGAAACCTTTTGAGCCTCCCTCTGACAGGGCTGGCTTAGATATTTCATGTCTCTTTCCTCCCTGGGGTATAATCTGGGTGACCAACCTGGCCCTGCCTCCAGGGAGAGCTTCCAGGCAGGTAGGGGAGTACGAGCGTGGACAAGGTCCTCCACAAAGGCTACTGCAGCCCTCTGTGCCTCAGTTTCCCCTGTCCTCTAGGGGTCTTCGGTGTTGAGATCAAAGCTCCTGTCTGCTTTTCTGCCTCTCCGAGTTCATGTCCTGATGCCTTCACACCATTGCCTCACCTCCCTCCAGGGAGAGTGAGGGGCAGAGGCAGGGGCTAGCCTCAGAGCCCTCTGGAAGCCCCTCTGCCTGCTGACTTTAGCTCTGTCTATATTTATTCCATCACTTCTTTGTTCAATAACTTTTTTGCCCGATGCCTACTATGTGCCGGGCACTGTTCTAGGAACTGTGGACCTAGCAATGAACAAAACACAAAAATACCTGTCCTTAGTGAGCTTACGTGACTCTGTGCGTTTGTGAAGAGAGATAGAGGAAAACATAAATCAGTCAATAAACAACAAATAAATAATGCTGTGATGAAAATGTCGGGGAGTGGTGACTAACAAAGGGTGCTTTTTTATTTTTTTTGAGACAGAGTCTTACTCTGTCATCCAGGCTGGAGTGCAGTGGCACCATCTCGGCTCACTGCAACCTCCGCCTCCCGGGTTCAAGCAGTTCTCCTGTCTCAGCCTCCTGAGTAGCTGGGATTACAGGCGCCCACCACCACGCCCAGCTAATTTTTGTATTTTTAGTAGAGACAGGGTTTCACCATATTGGTCAGGCTGGTCTCAAACTCCTGACCTCAGGTGATTTGCCTGCTTCAGCCTCCCAAAGTGCTGGGATTACAGGCGTGAGCCACACACCTGGCCACGATGGGTGCTTCTTTATGTATTCTAGTCAAGGAAGACCTCTCGAAGGAGGCGGCAGTTGAGCAGAAACTTGAAGGAAGGGTGTGAGTATGTGTGGGGTGGTGGGACTAGCAGGTGCAAAGGCCCTGGGGCTGGACTGAGCTGGCACCGGGGAGTGCAGACCATGCTCACTGAGGGCGCAGGCCCAGCCTGCCTCTAGGGACCGTGAGACCTGGGATGTGTATTTACATGTGCTCTCTCTTTCTCCTCTCCCATCAGGGCTTCCTTCCTCGGCTCCACCCTGTGGATGTAATGGCGACCCTTGCTCTGTCCTGGTGTCTGCCCCTCCTCATCCTCCTCCTGCCCCTGGCTACCTCTTCGGCATCTGCAGCGGTGAACGGTAAGGACCCTGACATCTGGACAGCTGTGCTTTCTCTACGGGGAGATGGCTAAGGCCCTGCTAAAGCCTCTTCCCAGAAGGGGATGGGGCCAGAGACCAGGTGTCCACCTCCCGCCTCACCCTCTGTCCCGGACCCCCTCCCTGGCACGCATGCACGAATGCACACACACACACACACACACACACACACACACACACACACACTCCAAGCCACAGGCATGCGCTACTTTCTGTCCCTGCCTTGCCTTAGTTTGCCTGTGGGAAGTTGCAGGCTCTGAGGCTCCATTTCCTTCTCTCTGAAGTGGGTCCGTGAATCCCTTCTCTGCTTGCCAGACTTACCCACCTTCTCCTCTGGCAGGCGTGGGTGGCAGGTGCAGGGGCAGCGGGCATGCCTTGGGGGGCCGTGGGCACCTGCAGTCAGCACTCACACCTCGTCTTGCCCAGCAGGCACTTCCCGGTTCACATGCTTCTACAACTCGAGAGCCAACATCTCCTGTGTCTGGAGCCAAGATGGGGCTCTGCAGGACACTTCCTGCCAAGTCCACGCCTGGCCGGACAGACGGTGAGCCCACTGGCCACACTGCAGAATCTTAGGATGGTGGGATCTCATATTCTGGATCCTATGCATTGGCCTCCATTTACAGAATCTTGGACTAATGGGACCCACAGACTGTTCGAATCACGGGAGTTAGGGCCCAGACCTGGAATCAAGGGATCGTTTAAGATAATTTGGAAGTCAGCTATGTAGACTTCTAGAACCTGGGTGGAGTCCAGGCTGCAGTGGAGGGGCTGGGGATGAACTGGACAGGGTAGTTTGGGGACACTGAGCTGCAAGCCTGCTATGCCAAGGCTGGACTCGACTCTAGAGGCAAGCAGAGAGGAAGTGGGGAGAAAGGAGGGTCCCCAAGCTTTTTGGATAATCTTGGATTTTGAGAGACCCTGTAGGCAGCTGTGGGGGCAGGGAACCTGGGAGTGGTTGGGGTGACGGGGGGCTGGGAGAGAGATGTCACTGTGATGTAAACATCCAGGTGGCCAGTGAGTGAGGGACTGACCCCAGGTAGGCTTGTTGGAGTCAGGGAGAAGGGGAAGGTCACAGAGAGGTGGCTGGGCCCTGGTGGATTCCATAGGGTGTGGGGCGGGGGAAAATGGGGAGGCAGATGGAGGGGCAAAGCAGGTTGGGGCCCTGGCTTCTGGGTGGGTGGTGATTCCACAGGGCTCTGAAGGCCTAATTAAGGATCTGTCTTCATCCTAAGCCTCATGGAGCTTTGGAGGGCTCTAGGTGGGGAAGACTGCCTGTCTTGAACTGGTTTGTGTTTCTAGATCACTCCAGCGGCCGTGGGAGCAGGCTGGGATGAGGGGGCAGGACAAGGTACCCATGAGGGAGGAATACCATGGAGCCAGTCGGGGAGGCAGTGCCCCTCACGGAGGTTGGCAAAGGAGCCCCAGCCTGGCCTTGCTGCCTGGTGCCATCCTGGCAGCAGAGACATCTGAGAAAGGTCCCTTGGGCCAGTTGTGTGGGTCCTTCCTGTTCTTCTAAGGAGGGTCTTTTGCCATGAAAGGCGGTGGAACCAAACCTGTGAGCTGCTCCCTGTGAGTCAAGCATCCTGGGCCTGCAACCTGATCCTCGGAACCCCAGATGTGAGTAACCCACCCAGGGAGAGAGTGCAGGGAGAAGGTGGTCTCCCAGCTCCGGGCTGCAATCTCAGGGTGGGCCGGATGCCAAGGGAAGAACGGGGGCCCAGTGGCCGGGGCTGTGGCCAAGCAGGATGCCCAGCGCTGAGGAGGAGGCAGAGGAAAACAGGTGACGCCCCAGGGCACGGACTCAGGCCTGCCCCAGGGCTGACGTGCCCTCTGTATGTGAGGCATCTTCTGCTCCTGCCGTCTCCCCTGCGCTTCGTGGCTCCTGTGACACTTGTGTTCCTTATCAAGTAAGACAGCACTCCAGTAACTGTAACGACCACATCCAGCTCTTTCCGGGGTCTTGGCAGTGCAGCGCAGTGTGGGGGGCGAAGGGTGTAGACTCTGGAGCTGGATGCTCCAGCCCTGGCTCGCCAGTTGGGTGTCATTGGGCAACCCCTGTGCCCCAATCTCCCCTTCTGTAAAATGGGCATAATAATGGCACCTACCTTGTTGGGTCAAGGCCCAACAAGGGCCTTGTTTTTCAGGCCCTCCCCAGCCTGAAGGTGGGACCTCACCAGAGACCCGCCCCCTTCTGCCCAGGCTGCTCGGGCCAAGGGACACCTGCAGGCCAGTGTCAAGCTGCCCCCTGTGCCCCCGTGGCTTCCCACCCCCCTGTGCTCATTGGCACCTAAAGTCCAGAGGAGGCCAAGGCAGCTGGAGCCAGTGACTCAGTGCTGCCTCAAGCGTGCCAGGCTGTGGTAGTGCCTGGGCTTGGCCCCGCTCTGAGATTGGAGCGAGCACTGGAGCAGGGGGAGGCCAGACAATGGGAGCAGACACCCCTGAGCTTGTAGGGGGAGCAGAGATGCCTGGGTCCAGGCTTGGGAAGCTGCAGCTGCCCCAGGAGAGTTCCTGGCTACCTCAGAAGGGGCGGGGGTCCCGCTTGTCCTCAACTCGCGCTGGATCCACGGAGTGTGTAGCCCCGACCGTGCCTCCAGGATCAGATCTGGTGCCAGAAGCAGGGGAGAGCCCAGGCAGTGGGAACAGACAGCTCTGAGCCTGCGGAGGCAGCGGAGACCTTCCCAGCCCCTGAGAGTGCAGGGACGCCTGGCTCTGCAGTCGCGACTTGGGTGCCTGCAGCTGCACCCACGAGAGTGGGGCTCTTGCTTGATCCCAGCCCCCAAGAGCAACAGGAGGTCTGGGCCCACGGCCAAGACTTAGGCAGCTACAGCCCTGCCTGGGAGGGCAGGGCTCCTACCCGCCCCGTGGAGCAGGAGGCCCCAGCTACGCCTCCCCACTGCAGCCAGAGTTTTAGCAGCGGCCACTCCAGATGGGCAGCTGCTGCCATCACCTACAGCCCCATGGGTAGACATCAGCACTGTCTCTTTCTTACCAATGAAGACACTGAGGCTCAAAGAGGTATGGTCCTTGCCCAAGGTCACACAGCCAGGAAGTGCAGAGCTGGGATTGAACCCAAGCCTGTGGACTCCCAGTTCGGGCTTTGCACCATTGCACTAGGCTGCCTCTTGCAGGGCATGTGGCCATGTTCAGATGGGTGTATATCAAATTATTGTCTGTCAAAGCGTCCTGGGCAGCAGCGGGCTCCAAGGACACCCAGACCACATCTTCTAACCACCATCAGGTTATGTGTCTTCTTGAGGGGCAGGAGAGTGTGAAGATGGAGTCACACAGTGTAGCTGAGAAAATCATAGCCCCCGGAACCGGACGCTGTGCCCGGCAGGGAGCTCTGTAGGTGGCCTGATTTCTGATCCTGGTTCCACCATTTCTTAGCTGTGTGACCTCAGGCAAGTCCCTAAGGTTCTCTGTGCTTCAGTCTCCTCAGCTATAGAATGGAAATAGTGACGGTGCCTGTGTCCAAGGGTGTTGACAGAATTAAATGAGATAATATATGTAAAGTGCTCTCAAGAGTGCCTGGCACGGTGTGAGTGCTCATGAGAATGTATGACTGGCAATATTTTTATAACAATAATAGTAATAATAATGAGACTACTATTACCTGGGAAAATCTAGTCTGCCTAGCAGCTATAAGAAGGCTAGGACAGGGTCTATGGGGTGGAGAGGAACTGGCCAGTTTGGGGAATTCTAATGATGAGGTTCAAGGTTTGCTCATAGCGGGTCTTATGCAGATCAGAGGGACTGTGCCCGAGGTCCTGGCCGTGAAATCAGCATCCTGGACCCCAGATCCTAAGAGGCCTGCACTGGAGCTTCCTCCCGCAGGGCTGCCGGGCTGCAGGGTTGGCACCTCTACAGTGGGAGGCTGCTCTAAGCTGCTCACTCAGCAGCCCTCTGTCAGGCATGACAGGCCAGGACTCGGAGATGCAGTCACGCTGTAGGGGGACACAGAGGACCTGGGTTTAAACCTGGGCTCCCCTGCTGTCCAGCTGCATGACCTGGGGCAGGTCCCTTGACCAGCCCAAGCCTCAGGCTTCCCACCCATACCATGGGATGGATGCTGTGTGCATTGAGGGGCTAAGGCATCTGAGCAGTGGCTGCTCACACGAGATGCTCAATACCTGGCCGTTTTCTTCCAGAAAATTCAAGGCATAGGGATGGGAAGAGATAGGGGAGGGGAGGGCCTTTCACACTGAAAAATGTTAAACAGGTATAGTTCCAGATCTGTACCTTTGTGGGGGCTTCTCAGCTTGCATGCCTCCTGTGACAGGGAGCTCACTCCCTCTCAAGGCAGCTCACTTCATTTTAGATCAGGCGTTGGTAAACTACCTTGACCCACGGGCCATATCCAGCCCACTGCCTGTGTTTGTAAATAAAGTTTTATTGTAACATGGCCCTGATGTTCATTTACATGTTGTCTGTGTCTGCGTCACACTACAGTGGTGGAGTTGAGTCATTGTGACAGAGACCGTGTGGCCTGTAAAGCCAAAAATAGTTACGATGTGGCCTTTTACAGAAAACGTTTTACAGAAAACGTTTGCTGCCCTTGCCTTGGGTGGCGGGGCATGTGGAGAAGCTCCCATCCTTCCCTGGTCATCCCTGTGGCCTCCCCCTTCCCCTGCCCCCAGCTGCTAGAAGTTTCACCCCTGCCCTCCTTCCCTTGCAGTCTCAGAAACTGACCGCAGTGGACATCGTCACCCTGAGGGTGATGTGCCGTGAAGGGGTGCGATGGAGGATGATGGCCATCCAGGACTTCAAACCCTTTGAGAACCGTAAGTGAGGAAGCCAGGGTGGGGCTGGGGCAGGGCTGGGCACCTCCTTCCTCCCACCTCCTCTGGGATCCTCCCTGCTCCAGCCTCTCTCCCCCGCAGCTTCCACACCCACATCTGACCACCTCACTGCCCGCTGCTCTCAGGATGATGTCCTGGCTCCTTACTCTGGCATTCAAGGCCACTCAGGATCCAGCCCTGGGCCTCCTCCCTGGCACTCCTCTTCTTGAGGCCTATATTTCTGCTGCAACCAAAGGCCAGCTCTCCAAACCCACCTTGCCTATTCATGCCTCTGAGCCCTTGCGCATGCTGATCCCACTGGAATCCTTCTTGACACCTGGAAAATTCCCACTCATGTTTCGAGGCTTAGTTGAGAGTCACTTCCTCCAGGAGGCCTTCCTAGACTCCCCTAGCCCTTTGTACCTCCTCTTTCTGGGAATGTGTGTCCTGCGTTGTCACTGCCTGATTGTAGGCCTGTCTTTTTCACTGGGCCGTGAGCAACCTGAGGGCAGAGTCTCTGCCACCCCTTGGTCTCCTTGCCACGAACCCAGCAGTAGATCTCATGAGGACAGTGGTCTGGGAAGGTTTGCTGAATGCCTGAGTGCCTGCCTGCTGACCTCGGGGTCCATCTCCAGGGAAGCAGTGGGGTGGAAAGTGAGAGTCAGGCCTGACCTGGATGTGATCTGACTGGCAGACTATCGAACCTTTCCGAGCCTGAGTTTTGGGGAGAATCAGAGTTGCCTACCCACCAGGCTTGTAAGGCATCTTTGAACTGAGACACAGAAACTGCTTACCATGTAGTCAGCACTCAGCATCTGCTTATCGCTTATGTGGTTCTATAGAGTCTCAGAAGTATAGAAACTGAGATTCATTTAACTTCAGAATCACACAGTGTTATATTCACACTTGAAATCAATGAGATGATCCATGGAAAGCTCTCAGGTCAATTCTAAGTGCAGAGAAAAGCTGCGGTGAATCATTCATCCAGCAGCTACTGAAACAAGTGCCAGGTAATCTTCCAGGCGCCAAGGACACAGCAGACAACCAAGTCCCTGCCCTCAAGGAGCTCACAGTCTGCTGGGGGAGGCAGAAAATGAATAAAGAAATCAAACCATATATTTCATAGGTCAGGTAATGATAAGCACTGGGAATAAAAATGAAACGGGCAAGGGGGATGCAGAGTGGTGAGTGGTCAGGGAAGGCTTCTCTGAAGAGGTGATCATTGAGAGAGGCCTGGAGGCAGGGAGGGAGCAGGGCTTTGGGTGGGGGGTAGGGTGGGTGCCAGGAGGGAGGAGTGGCAGGTACAAAGTGGGAAGTGGAGGTCATGCCTGGCTGCTCTCCCTTCCCCCTTCTCGTCTCCAGTTCGCCTGATGGCCCCCATCTCCCTCCAAGTCGTCCACGTGGAGACCCACAGATGCAACATAAGCTGGAAAATCTCCCAAGCCTCCCACTACTTTGAAAGACACCTGGAGTTTGAGGCCCGGACGCTGTCCCCAGGCCACACCTGGGAGGTGAGAATGTGGCCCAGTCCCCACCTGCTCTGGTTCCTCCTTCCTGTCCTGGTCCCTGTCCTGTCCCTTTTTCATTGCGGCGAGGTCCCATCAGCCCCAGGTGGATGGTGGGTGGCTGAGTTCACTCCTGTGCTCTTTCTGCACTGCCTGGGGCTGCCTGCCCGACTTCCACATCCTTATCTAGCCCCCCTAACCCTGGGGATCCGGCTGGCAGCAGGTTCAGGGAAAGATTCAGAAAGCCGGGAGACAGGCAGCTGCCCAGCCCCATGGGCTTTCAGAGGCCAGGGAAGCCACCCCTCCACGTGTCAAAGTCCATCTGCTCCACATCCATGTGGGTCTGTTGCTTATTCATTCACTTACATTCATTTCTTTATTCACTCAATTGCTCACTCAACAAATATTTGCTGAGCACCTACTATGCGCTGCATGATGGGGAAAGAGTGGAGGGTGAGCTCAGCAAACTTCCATTCTCAGGAATCTCAGACTGGGGCAGGGCAGGCAGGCAGTCAGCAGACACAGCGACAGGGTCTGGGATAGTGAGGCTACGGGACAGGGATAAGTTCCACCAAGAAAACCCAATGGGGCAAAGTATTTGAGAGTGACTGGCACAGGCTATTTCAGACTCAGGTGACCAGGGAAGGCCCCTTGGATACCTGGGCGTCCAGAAGGAGCTCACCTGCAAAGATCTGGGGAGAGTTTTGCAAAATTAGAAAGACCTGCCACGGCAAAGGCAGGGTGCTGCTATGTGTATGGAGAGCAAGAGGAGGCGAAAAGAGCGACCCGGGGTGGTGAGGTGTGTGGAGATGTCCTGCTTTCTGGTCCTGTGGAGACTAGACTGCAGAGGGGCATGGATGGGAACCAGAGACCAGCTGCAGCCTTGGGAGAGGGCGGCAGCTCAGGCCTGGGGTGAGTGCAGCGCGGAGAGCGGGGATGGTTCTGGAATGGCTGTGGAGGTGGAACCAGGTTCTGGAGGTGGAACCAGCTGATTAGCTGACGACTTGGGCTTTAGGGGATGACCCCAGGGTTTGAGGCCCCAGCGACTGGGAAGTGAGGGAGCCTTAGGGGGCAAGGAAGGGGGGGTGCAACTGGCGGGGGTTGAGGAGGGTGCTGTGGTGCTCAGCCTCCTGGCCCTGCCATGGGAGGTGAGGTGAGCGCTGACAGTCCTGTCTCTGACCCAGGAGGCCCCCCTGATGACCCTCAAGCAGAAGCAGGAATGGATCTGCCTGGAGACGCTCACCCCAGACACCCAGTATGAGTTTCAGGTGCGGGTCAAGCCTCTGCAAGGCGAGTTCACGACCTGGAGCCCCTGGAGCCAGCCCCTGGCCTTCAGGACAAAGCCTGCAGGTACTGGTGGGCAGCAAGGGTGGGAGGGGGCTCAGGCAGGAGGGGGTGGCTGGGGGAGGAGCTGCTCCATCCTCTCCCTGCCTGGAGCGAGGGTACAGCGGTCAGCTCCATGCCTCACTTGCTGTAACCCTGCAGGGGGACCGCTTTTCCAACAGGAACAGGGGTTCAGTGAGCGGACGGGGCTTGCCATGGGACTTGTGAGTTGGGGAGGGGTAGAAAGGCTCTTTTCACTTTTCTCCACCCTGAAATCTCAAACTCCTGGTTTCTGCCGGGGCTGGGGGCAGCTGCTTTCATCTCTCGGCCTGATCTGTGAAACGGGTACACTGACTGTGAGGCAGAGCTGCTGTGAGGAAGACATGTGACATTCCAGCAGCCTGGCCCTCAGCGGGTCTGCCGGACATCTGTCCCTCATCGCATCACATTTTGAGTTCAAGTTCAAGCAAGACCTGGGGTCCTCTAAGTGGTGCTTGGAGGCAGGTGGAGAGAGGGGTGCAGCCAGGTGGAGCCCAGGTTGCTGTGGGGGGCTGTAGGCTCACCAGGTGGGCCCATGGGATCTGTCTGGAGCCAGAGGGGCTCTTGGAATGCCATTTCTTTTTAGTATGAAATGTGGCTTCCCAGAGAGGACGGGCTTAGCCAAACCCTGTCCCCAGCCCTCCAGACGCAGCAGTGTCTGGCGGGGCCCTGGACCGGGGTGTTGGAGTGAGCCAGGGTGAGTGACGGCACTTCTCTAACCCCTGTCCTTGCTGTTTCTCCCACCCCCGGGCAGCCCTTGGGAAGGACACCATTCCGTGGCTCGGCCACCTCCTCGTGGGCCTCAGCGGGGCCTTTGGCTTCATCATCTTAGTGTACTTGCTGATCAACTGCAGGAACACCGGGCCATGGTAAGAAGGTTCTCCTCCCCTTCCTTCGTGCTCCCACCCCTCCAACATGCACACACATGGACACACACGTACATGCACATGCACACACACACGGACACACACGTACATGCACATGCACACACACACGCACACAAGCACACATACACACATGCGCACACACACACAGACACTTACATGCGCACATGCCACATTGCCGGGTCAGATTCTGGACCGAGCCCCCTGCTCTGATACACCCGTGCTTCCTCTACCCTCCAGAGAGTCCTTCCTGTCCAAAACCTGGCCTTTCCCTGTGTCCCATCCCCACAGGGGGACCCTGTGGAACCAACCTGAGGGGAAGGTGGGAGGTGCAGCCCTCCAGGGAGAGTCCCTGGGGCCCTGTCCAGAGCATGCTCTCAGGACTGGGGATGCCCGTGTGCCCACGTCAGCTGTCTCTGTGTCTGGGTCCCTGCTGGTCCATCTAGGTCTGACTGTCATTCGCTTATTCTCATATTCACTGAGTACCAGCTGCATGCCAGGTACAGCTCAAAGTGCTGGGAACACAGTGGCAGGCCACATGCGTGCAAACCCAGCTCCAGGCAGCTCACAGCCCAGTGGGGGAAGGCAGACAATCCTGCAGGTGTGTAACGACGCACCGGGATCAGGATGGTGGGGGAGGATGTCGATGTACGGCCATTCCTTAGGATCCATGGGGAACCTGTTCTAGGACCCCCCTCCCCCGCCATAGATACCAAAGCCGGTGGATACTCAAGTCTCTGATTTTTATTTTATTTAATTAATTTATTTTTTGTAAGACAGAGTCTCACTCTGTCACCTAGGCTGGAGTGCAGTGGCGCGATCTCGGCTCACTGCAACCTCCACCTCCAGGGTTCAAGCGATTCTCCTGCCTCAGTCTCCTGAGTAGCTGAGATTACAGACACGACACCACACCCGGCTAATTTTTTGTATTTTTAGTAGAGACAGGGTTTCACCATGTTGGCCAAGCTGGTCTCGAACTCCTGACCTCAGGTGATCCACTTGCCTCGGCCTCCCAAAATGCTAAGATTACAGGTGTGAGCCCCCACGCCCGGCCTCAAGTCCCTGATTTAACACAGCAGTGTATTTGCGTGTAACCTACACACATCCTCCCAGGGACTTTAGGTCATCTCTAGATTACTTATAATACCTAATACAATGTAAATGCTATGTAAATAGTTGTTATGCTGTATTTTAAAAATTTGTATTATTTTTTATTGTTGTATTGCTATGGGGTTTTTTTTTTCCCCCGAATATTTTTGATCAGGGATTGGCTGAATCTGTGAATGCAGAACCCACGGATACTGACTGCTGGCTGTATCATGAGCAGACAACAGGGAGGGCAACCTTGGCTGGGGCGTGGCCAGGGCTGGTTTCCCCGAGGAAGTGGTGATTCTGTTGAAATCTGAAGCAGGAGCCCATGGTGGGGGTGGGTGGAGGGGATAGGGAGAGTGTCTCAGGCAGCGGAAACAGCGTGTGCAAAGGCCCTGGGCAGGAAGGAGGGAAGAACCTTCCAGGAACAGAGTGCAGGGACGAGGTGTGGCTGGAGACAGAAGCGGGTTGGGGAGGAAGCTGAACTTGAACCTGGACATGTGGCGGCAGTGAGGCTTCCTGGGACCTCAGGCCATGGTGAGGACTTGGGAGGTGTGCCGAGCAGCCATGGAGGGTTTCCCCAGGAGTGGGACAGGATCCACTTTGCCCTCTGTGGCTCTGGCTGCTGTGCCGAGCGTGACCTGGTGGAGGGCAAAGCGGTGAGGAGGTGACACTGACCAGGCTATGTGACCCCCTGATGAGAGCCCTGATTCTCCCAAGAGGTTTGCAAAGCGTGCCTAGCTGCATCACCTCACTCGATTTTCCATAGCACCGGGAAGGCAGTGAGTCAGGGGCTACCACTGACTTTTAACTGATGCCAGGACTGGCCAGAGAAGTCAGCTGACTTGCCAAAGGTCACATAGCCAGTTAGTAGTGAGTGCTGCTCTCCTGACCCTCGTCCTGGAGCCGTGGTTCTCGGCAGTATTTGGAGCCCGTTTACTCTTTCCTCCCAAGAAGACAGGTATTCCTCCACCCACCCATTCCCTCTACCCACAGCTCCCTGCAAGCCTTCAGGGAAACCATGTTCCTGTAGGGGGAGAGGTCCTCTCCCAGGTGTGGGTTCAGTGGCCTCCAGAATGCCCTCCTCCTTGTCATTCTTGTGCCCCTTCAGTCCTTTCTCCACCATGTCATTCTCCTGTTTAACGCTCTTCAAAGGCTGCCTACTGCGTTGTAATACACCCCAGCCCCTGAGGGCCTCCACCAGTCATGTGGAACCTTTGTGCAAATCAAAAATGGTGCCTCTTCAGGGCGATGTACACAGGTTCCAGGCACTCAGTTTGGCAAGCAGAACATGGGCTGGAATTCAGCCTCACTCACCACCACCTCTCCCACTTCCTGCCCAAGCCTAATGCCCTTGGGCAGTGCACAACCTGAACCACCACCCATGGCAGCCCTGACAAGGAAGCCTCTCTCCTCTCTCCCTCCTGCTTCACTCCACTTTTTCTAGCCATCTCCATCCCTGACCGCTCTGGCTTGTGTGTTCGCCCCCTCTGACCCCCACCTCCCCGTCTCATGTAGCACTCTGCCCTCTGTCTCCACGGAATGAATGATGATGTTGCAACATGCTTTGTGTCTGTCTCCCCATCAGAATGTCAGCTTGAGAGCAGGGACCTCTTTTGTTGGCTATTCTTGTCTCCCCAGTGCCCAACACAGCGTCCTCCCACAGTGAGCACTTAGTAATGGTGGAATAAATACATGAGTGAATGTGGTGTGGCTCTGCGCCTGGCATCCAGAGCTGTGGCGCTGATGGCAGGACACCATGGCCCTTCCCGTTTTCACCCTCCTCCTTCCCTTCTCTCCTCTGTCCAGGCTGAAGAAGGTCCTGAAGTGTCACACCCCAGACCCTTCGAAGTTCTTTTCCCAGCTGACCTCAGAGCATGGAGGAGATGTCCAGGTAGGAGGCTGGGATGGAGAGGCAGAGGTGGCCAGGGGTGTGAGTGGGATGAGGGGGTGGTAGGGGAGTAGCTAATTTTGTGTTTTGTGAGAGGAGACCAAACGCTGAAGTGAGCAGCCTCCAGGGTGGGCATGGGTCTCTTCTCCAGCTCTGGCACTTTCTGTCTGAGCCAGACTGCCTGGGTTTTAATCCCAGCTCCACCGCTTTCTGGTTGTGTGACCTTGGGCCTATAGAGCCTCCCTGGGCCTCAGTTTCCCCACCGGTTAGATGGGGAGAAAAACTGTGTTACTATGTGTCCTGCCCTGAGAACTTTGCCTGGCACACAGTTAGTGTTCAAAAGAACCCTATCAGGCTGGGTGCAGTGGATCACGCCTGTAATCCTAGCACTTTGGGAGGTTGAGGCAGGTGGATCATGAGGTCAGGAGTTCGAGACCAGCCTGACCAAATGGTGAAACCCCGTCTGTACTAAAAATACAAAAATCATCTGGGCGTGGTGGCGCGGGTCTGTAATCTCGACTACTCAGGAGGCTGAGGCAGGAGAATCGCTTGAACCCAGGAGGTGGAGGTTACAGTGAGCCAAGATGGTGCCATTGCACTCCAGCCTGGGCAACAGAGTGAGACTCCGTCTCAAAAAAAAAAAAAAGTTCCCTATCTGGTATTACCGTTGCCCGTGTGCTGAACGAACAGGATCTGCCAGCACTAGCTCTCTCTGCCCTACTGTCTGTGTAGACGTGCTCTGTGCTTCTCCTGTCCCTGCCCAAAATTCCTGAGCAGGCTCCATAACTTAGCACGGATACTAACAAGTCTTCCAGTCACTTTGAGTCACAAAACACCGATTCATTTTTAAAGTGCCGGCCCACAGAGCAGCAATGCTCTGAACTCCATCTCAAATTCAGCCGTCTCTTCTTCCCCAGCCCGTGTCCCCTTCAGGCAGGAAGCTTCAAGAATGAAGGGGGGAGGTGGGGGGTACTTTTTTTTTTACCACCCTAGCCCTACTCTAGGCTCCTAAGATTGGAGAGTGGGGTGAGGTAGGGGCAGAGGGAGGTCAAGAGGAGTGGCGGGCGAGGAAAGTCATGCAGGACCAGAGGTGTCATGACCTGGCTTTGGAGTTCTCTATCAGGGCTGATCAAGGGCCCCTTCTGGAATTCCTTGGAAAACTCCCAAGATGAGAATATCTTAGTTGCAAGTACTCTTTTTTTTTTTTTTTTTTGAGACGGAGTCTTGCTCTGCCACCCAGGTTAGAGTGCAACGGCGCGACCTCAGCTCACTGCAACCTCCACCTCCTAGGTTCAAGCGATTCTTCTGCCTCAGCCTCCCAAGTTGCTGGGATTACAGGCACACATCACCACGCTTGTCTAATTCTTGTACTTTTAGTAGAGACGAAGTTTTGCCATGTTGGCCACGCTGGTCTTGAACTCCTGATCTCAGGTGATCTGCCCACGTCAGCCTCCCAAAGTGCTGGGATTACAGGCGTGAGCCACTGTGCCTGGCCATTAGTTGCAGCACTCTTAATGTGTAGGAATGCATTACCTTAAAATTCTTCCCTCAGCCTTGAGGGTAGCAAGATTCCATCTATAAAGGTATTCCAGCAAGCCATGGCTGCCTGTGTGTCAGAAGCATAGAGATTCCCCCATTGAACTGGTTGGAGGCTGAGCTAGATTAGCTGCATGCTCAGATACCTTCCAGCTTCAAGTCCTGATTCTATGGACCTAGAACATTGTGAGGTGGGAGCTGCAAACCATTCCAGCTTCCTGTGAGGGCATCCTTGGGTCTAGTGTGTGGAGCGGGGTCCCGAGGAGGAAGGTATGATGTGGCTGGGGACTGGGGCTGGCAAAGCCGGCCCCACCTTTTCCACATCTGGGTGAGAGACCTACCCTTCTACCCTAGGACCCACAGGGGCCACAAGGCCCACCGCACTTCCCAGGGGATCCTGGAATGTGTGTGCGAGTGTGGGAGTGTGTGTGAGGGGCATGAACTTCTCCTGAAGCCCCTTTCAGGGCATTGTGGGCAGAGGCTCAGGCCCAGGAGGTAGCTGGCCACAGGCACTGGGTTCCTGGCTCACCGGCACTGGCCACAGGCCCGGCCGCTCCCTCTCTGGCTGCAAACTCAGGGCTGCTGCCTGGCTCCACCCTTGCCCCGGATATCATGAACCTCACCCGAACAGTGCTTTTTCCCTCTCTGCCCAGCCAGCGACCCCTCTTTGCCATCCTGTTTATCCTTTCTGCCTCTCTCAGCCTCTTCTTTTGTGACATAACTCCTGGTTGCGGGAAGGGAGTGGATTTAATTGAGTGGTGTGTGCACGTGTGTGCATGTGTGCATGCCTGTGAGCGTGTGTGTGTGTGTCTGTGGAGCAGCTGACTCAGCCTCAGGGACTCCCCCTGGAGAGGAGAACTGGGCATTCATTGCTGGTTCATTAATTCATCTGAAATAGGCCCATGGGACCCACCAGCCCCGTGCTGAGCACAAAGGCCTGGGGAGCCCACTGGCCCTGGCCCCTGTGCTTAGGGGGCCAAGTCCAGCTGCTGAGGGTTCCGGGGACAGAGGGTTGTCAGGGCTCCCAAACTCGCCCACCCGAGGGCCTGCTGTCCCCATTCTGCTGTGCAGTCTGTGTCTTACCCTATTTGGGTGTTTACATCTCCATTTGCTCACCTGATGTCTCCCTGGTGACCCAATGGGTGACAGCAAGGAAGTCAGGAAAGACTCGGCTAACTGTTGTGGAAACTGAGGCCCAGAGAGGTGCAGGAGCCTGCCCAGGGTCACACAGTTAGTGAGTGCCAGGGCCAGGGCTAGAACCCAGGTCTTCCCACTCCTTGCCAGGGCTCTCTGGAATCCCGAGCAACTGAGAAGTGCTCTGATGGGCACTTTCCTCTCTCTGGGGATGGGAGGTGGAGTGGGTAGGGGTGGGGACCACAGGGAACTGGGGGAGAGGTGAATCAGGAAACTATCAGCTCCCACAAGAGACGTTCCCACCACAGTGTAAGCGGAGACCCTGGGTCCCAGCTCTGCCGCCTGCCGGTCTGTGATCGGGGCCGGGGCGTGTCCCGTCTCTGGGCATCTGTAAGGTGAACAGGCTGTGCTCTCAGCGCCCTTCTGCTTTGGCATGGATGGATCGATTCACACACTTGTGCTAGTACCCACTGGACAGTTTGAGGATTCTCTGCTTTCCTGGGTCCCCAGCATCTAGAACAGTGCCAGGCTCACAGCAGGTGTCCAATAAACAGTCACTCTTCAGCAAGCAAACATTCCTGGGCACTACTGGGAGCCAGGCAGGCCTATGCTGGACTGTGGGTCAGGCAGTCTCCCTGGGCTGGTGGCCCAGAGGGCTCCCCAAGCCAGTAGGTGAGTTGGGGGAGTACGGGGCTATAGTCAGGGAGGGCTTCCTGGAGGGGGCATCCCTGGGCCAACTGCTTCAGGAGGAGGAGTTAGGAGCTGCTGAGAATCCAGAGGAAGGGGTGGAGGGTGAAGGAAGGTGAAGGAAGCCCCCACTCACCCACCCCCCGCCTTTCTCCCTCCAGAAGTGGCTCTCCTCGCCCTTCCCCTCATCGTCCTTCAGCCCTGGCGGCCTGGCGCCTGAGATCTCACCACTGGAAGTGCTGGAGAGGGACAAGGTGACACAGCTGCTCCTGCAGCAGGACAAGGTGCCTGAGCCCTCATCCTTAAGCAGCAACCGCTCACTGACCAGCTGCTTCACCAACCAGGGTTACTTCTTCTTCCACCTCCCGGATGCCTTGGAGATAGAGGCCTGCCAGGTGTGCTTTACTTATGATCCCTGCGCAGAGGAAGAGCCTGATGAGGGTGGGGCCGACGCGCCCACAGGGTCTTCCCCCCAACCCCTGCGGCCTCTGTCAGCGGAGGACGATGCCTACTGCACCTTCCCCTCCGGGGATGACCTGCTGCTCTTCTCCCCAAGTCTCCTTGGTGGCCCCAGCCCCCCAAGCACTGCCCCTGGGGGCAGCGGGGCTGGTGAAGAGAGGCTACCCCCTTCCCTGCAGGAGAGAGTCCCCAGAGACTGGGACCCCCAGCCCCTGGGGCCTCCCACCCCAGGAGTCCCAGACCTGGTGGATTTTCAGCCACGCCCTGAGCTGGTGCTGCGAGAGGCTGGAGAGCAGGTCCCTGATCCTGGCCCCAGGGAGCCGTTCAGTTTCCCCTGGGCGAGGCCTCCTGGGCAGGGGGAGGTCAGGGCCCTTAATGCTCGCCTGCCCCTGAACACTGATGCTTACTTGTCCCTCCAAGAACTCCAGGATCAGGACCCAACTCACTTGGTGTAGACAGATGGCCGGGGAGGCAGGCAGCTGCCTGCTCTGTGCCCAGCCTGAGGAGGACCCTGTCGAGGGTACTTAGTGCACTGATGAGGACACTCAGTGTCCAGTTGCCGCTGGATGTCTCCACCCAGATGGCCCCCACCCAGTCCTGCACACTTGGCCCATCCATTTCCAAACCTCCATTGCTGCTCCCTGGTCCTGCTGCCCGAGCCAGGAACTGTGTGTGTTGCAGGGGGGCGGTCACTCCCCAACTCCCTCTTTAATCACAGAGTCCCACGAGTTTAGGCTCTGAAGCATCACTCCTCTCCAGCCCTGCAGCTGTTCACCAGTATCAGTCCTCGAGGCTCTCCAGGGCTCCTTGCCCTGACCTCCTCCCTGGGTTTTCGGCCCCAGCCTCCTCCCCTCCCCTCCACCTCCACAGGGCAGCCTGAATGTGCTTTCCAAAACCCAAATATGGCCATGCTCCTCCTCGGTTCAAAACCTTGCACGGGCCGCACTGCCCTCAGCCCCATTTCTCAGCCCCATTTCTCAGGCTATTCCCTGGGCCTGCTGTGCTCTCCCCCTTATCTGGGTGACAAACTTCCCTGACCCCTCAAATGCCGGTTTTGCTTCCCCTGGAGGGAAGCACTGCCTCCCTTAATCTGCCAGAAACTTCTAGCATCAGTGCTGGAGGGAGAAGCTGTCAGCGACCCAGGGCGCCTGGAGAAAGAGGCCCTGTTACTCTTCCCTTAGGATCTCTGAGACCTCAGAGTGCTTGGCTGCTGCATCCTTAATGCTGGGGCCCAAGTATGGGCACAGATGCCCCCACAAAGTGGACGCCTGCTGTATCTTCCCACAGTGGCTTCACAGACCCACAAGAGAAGCTGCTGGAGAGTAAACCCTGGAGTCTGAGGCCCGGGCAGCAGTCCCCTCCTAGTAGTGGGCCCTGATGCTGCCAGGCCTGGGACCTCCCACTCCCCCTCCACCGGAGAGTCTCCTCTGCAGCTCAGGGACTGGCACACTGGCCTTCAGAAGGACAGCTTCACAGGGCAGGGCCTCATCATCTTTTCACTGCCCCAGACACAGTGCCCAGTGCCCCATGGTATACCCTGGGTGAATGAATTAATTACCTGGCACCACCTCGTCTGGGCTCCCTGCACATGACATTCACACAGAGAGGCAGAGTCCCGTGCCCGTTAGGTCTGGCATGCCCCCTACTGCAAGGGGCTCACCCTCCACCTTGCAGTCCTCCCCCTCTCACACAACTGGCCCCTTCCTTCTCGTGCCCCCCACCACGACCCCTCCACTTATCTTTCCTCTGCCTCAGGCAGATAACATTGCAATGGCTCAGACAACCTTCTATCCCAGCAGGACAGTGACCCACTCCCAGCTAACTCTGACCTGGCAGCCCTCAAGCACCTGCACTTATAGGCCCTGCTCACAACTGATTGGGCACCTGACTACACGCCCCTACAGGCTGACCAGCAGCCTATAAGGGGGCTTGGCACCAAGCTCTGTCCAATCAGGTAGCCCCGGCCTGAACTAGCCAATCAGATCATCTCTGTCTCGGGCGTTTGAACTCAGGGAGGGAGGCCTGTGGGTGCAGGTGCTTGTGAACGAGGATCCCTGGAAAAGGTAGACAAGCGTTGAGCCACTAAGCAGAGGACCTTGGGCTCCCAATACAAAAATACTTACTGCCGAGAGGGCTGCCGACCATTTGGTCAGGATTCCTGTTGCCTTTATATCCAAAATAAACTCCCTTTTCTTGGGGTTGTCTGAGTCTTGGGTCTGTGCCTTGAAAAGAGCTTAATTATGGGACAGTCTCACCTCCTGCCATAGGGTCCTGAATGTTTCAGACCCCAAGGGGCTCCACACCTTTGCTGTGTGTTCTGTGCCAGCATGGCCTGGGCGTCATCTCTCATCATCTGGAAACAGCCTTGAGAAGCAGGTGCTTTATTCCCCATTTTGCCAATTAGGAAACAGGCCCAGGGAGGTGGAGAAACACAGCTGATGGTTGGTAGCACCAGGATTCAAACTCAGGTACATACTAAACCTCTCTGCAAGTCAGTTTCCTTATCCCCCCAAATGGAAATTGTATTTGCCTGCTCCACTTTGGGAGGCTCCCACTTCTTGGGAGGGTTATATTTTTTTAAGTCTTAATCATTTGTGATATATGTATGTATACATCCGTATCTTTCAATGGTCTGTGTGTACCATCTTTGTGATTATTTTCTTAATATTTTTTCTTTAAGTCAATTCATTTTTGTTGAAATACATTTATTTAAAGAAGAATCTTCATGTTACTCTGTAAATGAAAAAAAGATTTTCGCTATAAATAAAAGGTAACTGTACAAAATAAGTACAATGCAGCAAAATAGTGTTGATATTCATTGCCTGCAGTAAACCTGTTGTCTCTTAAAGGAGAAATGAGAAGCTGTTGGGGAGCTGTTAAAGACATCCCAGGGCCAAATGCAAACTTCCTCCTTGAGAGAAAGGAAAAGGATTGTAAAGGGAATATCTTCTTCACTAATAGGAGTCAGGACTGTCTGTCATATTCTGTGTCCAGGTATCAGCTCATATCCCACAAGTCTATGCCTGGGGAAGTATTGCACTTGATGACGGATCCCTCTCTCTCTCTCTTTCTCTCTCTCTCTCTCCCTCTGTCCCTCCAGATAGATAGATAGATGATAGAGAGTGTCCTGATAAAAGTTGGACCAGACCATGGATGGCAATTCCTGGCATTCATAAATCCACACTTACGGCAGACATTGCTAATCAATTGCACCCATGCACGGCAGACATTTCTAATTGACCACAGCCCTCCTCTTGCAGAGCCTGGGTGCAGCTTCAGATTCTGCAATGCTGTGCTATAGGCAGGCCCCAGGTGGTCACAGCTGATAACTGATGACTTCTCTGGACCATATAGTTCCTCAGGTTCCTAACACAAAAGGAGCTCTTATGTTTCCCAACTCCGATTTCCCAGGCAGGGAAAACTGAAGCTGAGAGGATGGAGACTGGAAAGCTGAGAGGCAGCTGTGAGAGGCAAGCCCAGGGAGCCCAGGTGTCCCCACCATGTCTGGTGAGAGACTTGATCTGGCAGAGAGCAGAGTCAAGGTCATCTTATGCCAGGTGCAGATGGAGGGATGGGCCAGCGGTCACTGTGTTTCATGCTCAGTGTGCATCCGAGTGAGGATCTTGGGAGAGGAGACAAAGAGGAAGCAGCTGGTGGCAGGGGTGGTGGTCAGATTGCAGGAGGGGCCTGGGTCAGATTCAGGAGACAGGAGCGGCACCAGCTGGGGACCAGGCAGCCGCTGGAGCCCTGGAGAACCATCAGGTGCGGAGCGGGAAGCAGGAGGCAGCCAGGAGCCAGGGCAGATCTGGTGGGTAAGAGAAAAAGGAGGAGAGGTGGTGGGGGAGCCTTTCAGCCTCTCATGTTTCCTCTTTGTTGAACTAGATTTGTTCCTTTGCTTCCCCCGTTCCCCCAATTCCCATCTCTCATTCGAAGCAACTTCCAGTGCCTGCATTTCCAAAGTAAATTATGGTGGAAAGTGTAGGCCCAGATCTAGGAAGAATCACCCACCACTGTCCTCCTCATTACTGACAGCTGAAATAAAAAGACCAAGGAGGACAGTAAGAAGGGGCAAGAGAACCAATACTTCCACTCTACACATTGTGCCAGCATGGCCTGGGCGTCGTCTCTCATCATCCCGAAACAACCTTGAGAAGCAGGTACTTTATTCCCCATTTTGCCGATTAGGAAACAGTCCCAGGGAGGTGGAGAAACGCAGCTGATGGTTGGTAGCACCAGGATTCAAACTCAGGTACTGACTCCAGAGCTTTCAACCCTTAGCATATAGAAGGCTACATAGGGGATAATTATACTGATGGGAAAATACCTACTAAAATTTCATTCTCAGCTTCCCGGCAGTCAACTTAGGGGGGAAAAAGATGTCACGATCCATGACTGTGATTGTGGGAGAAAAAACAAAGCCCTCTGATAGCTTGGCAGGTCGATGGGGCAGAACGGTGGCCAGGAGAGGAGGCTGAGGGCGATGCTTTTTGGTGAGGCCGAGGTGGTCTTACCCCCTCCTCGTCCTCTGTAACTGGGCCCCTCCTGCTGCCTCCACACTCCAAGCTGGTCCAATGTCCCTCTGGGCCAGCATTTCACTGGTTGCTCCCACCCCCACCCTGGTGACCCCTGTGCCACAGACCTGAAACCATCACTCGTATTCCTGCTCAGCCTCCTCCTCGGTCTGCCTGTCCCCATGGCCGCCTGCCCCTCTGATCCTTCCACCTCTGAGCCCTGCCAGGCTGATGTGGCTAAGGGTCATATCTGGCCACACCCCATCCTTGCTAAACCTCCAGTGACCCACTGTCATTTTCAGGATAATGGCTGAGGCCCTTAATGTGATCCTCCATGACTTGGGGGACTCTGGGGAGGTCCCATCGGCTCTTATGCCTCAGTTGCCCCATCTATGAATTGGGCAGGCAGAGTGGATGATTTCTAAGTGCTGTCCTAGCCCTGACATTCTGTGGTTCCAGGTGCCACGTGGAATATGGCTTGAGGCCTGGACTACATGTCTTTCATGTCAGGTGTTGGTGGTGGGGATGAGAGTAGGGACTGCAACTGACTCATTTGCCTGGCACCAGCTGATCCTGGGTTTGAAGTAGCCCTGCCACCCAAACAGTCTGCCCTCAGGTTCCTATGCATCCCTCAGAACCCCACTCAAGCATCTCTGCTTCTGGCAGGCCCTCTGATTTGCCCCCAAGTAGAGTAGATTACTTCCTCCTCCTGTCCCAGTCCTGAGCTACCTCTGTTATAACCAACTGTTGTGCCGTGAGTCAGACCCTGGGCTACATTCTGGGGATCTAAGGGTGATACTAATAGCTTTGGAAGAACATCAGATAGAGCCCCATTAGCTCAAGCCTTTAGTCAGAAAAGCCAGGCACAAGAACAGTCTGAAAGGACCTTCTAATTGGGGAAGGAGGGTGGAATGTTGGGTTACGCTTTAGCAAGGCGGCTCAGCTTGTACTCAGCTAGTTTGGGATATAGTTGATCGAGGATGGTGTTTGGAAGAGAGAGGAATTGTTCTTGCAGATTAGCAGCCACGATTTAACAATTTGGGCTTTATTAACAGGCAGTGGGGGGTGGACAGCTTTGGGGTCAAGGATCTGTGAGAGCCACTGTGGAATGTTCTCGGTCCTTCAAAGTCTGCAGGTATTGAGTACTTAGATGCGTCAGACTCTGTTCTAAGCACATTGATCCTTCCACTCGCTAGAAGGATACTTAACTCACTGGATCCTTAAACAAATGCCATGAGGGAGGTACTATTCTTAGCCCATTTTATAGCTAAGCCTATGGCTCAGAGTGGTCAAGTGAGTTGCCCACGATCACACAGCTAGAATGCAGTGGAGCAAGGAGTTGAATCCAGGCAATATTTAGTACCCACATGGCACAGCTCCTTACAGCTCCAAAGTGTGTGAACCCCTGGTATCTCATACAATCACACAGTGACCTCACAAGATAGGAATGACAGAGGTTCTGAGTCCTGTTCCTCAGTTGAGGCCCGGAGGCCCTGAGGGGATGGCGGTGCCATGTCCCAGGCCACACAGTGCATTCGGTAGTGGGGGAGGGAGTGTTGATTAAATGTGAGCTCACCACCAGCACCTGTGACAGGCCTGGGACATCCCCTAGGCTGACTTGCTTAGAGACATTTTCCACCACCAGGGCTATGACACACTTGAGGCTCCCATCACAGAGCCTGGCAGAAAGTGAGGCAGGAAGCGCTGAGTGGTGAGAGACGCAGGTCGGGTAGTGGAGGGGGAGTGCCCGGTCTATGATTCCAGGAAGCCAGGATGCAGAGGGAGGGAGGAGCAGAGCTGGCAGACGATGTCTCATCTCCCATTCCTCTATGTGCCTGGCCTCACACCGGGTACTGGCCACAGAGAGCAGGCCGGCTACTGCTCGGTCCACAAAGAGTCTCCAGCCTTGTCCCGGAGGGAGTGACTCTGGAGGACACACATGAGTAGACCAGCTGATCACAGCCCTCCCTCGGTGTGGAGGAATTGTGGAATGCTGTGTGGGGCTTTCGCAAGACAGGCTGAGCCAGAGTTCAGCTGGTTTTGGATAGTTGGTTGAGGATCGTTCTTAGAAGAGGAAGGAATTGTTCATTCATTCATTTATTCATTCAACAGACATTAGGAGGGCCTAGTATGCACAAACCACGGTGTTGGAGATCCAGCAGTGAACAAAGCCCCCTTCGTTCTACCCTTTCAGATTTTGTGGCCGCTTTGGGGCAGTGTGGTGTAGTGGTGTTAGCCCTAACTCTGGGGCCCCACAGCCTGGGTTAAGTACTGGCCCTGCTGCCTATCAGCTGTGACTTTGGACAAATACCTAAGCTTCTCTGTGCCTCGGTTTTCTCATCTGTAAAAGGGGACAATACCAGGACTGTCGTGAGGATGAAAGAAATAATTGAACATGGCAGGGTGTGGTGGCTCCCACCCGTAATCCAGCACTTAGGGAGGTCCAGGTGGGAGGATCCCTTGAACCCAGGAGTTCAAGACCAGGCTGGCCAACATGGTGAGACCCTCTGTCTACAGAAAACATACACAAAAAAATTAGCCAGGCATGGTGGTACACACCTGTAGTCCCAGCTGCTAGGGAGGCTGAGGTGGGAAGATCCCTTGAGCATGGGAGATTGAGGCTGCAGAGAGCAGTGATTGTGCCACTGTACTCCAGCCTGGGCAACAGAGTGAGACCCTGTTACAAAAAAA